CCCCCCCCCGCCGGCTGCGGAACAGGGGGATCTACCAGTGAATAAAAATAGTTCTAAACTTACTGGCAAACAAGTTCAATTAATTCTGGCCGACATGAGACGATTTTGTAAAATGTTAAAAATTCGTCTTTATCTAAATGTTGCAATTCCTCATAATTATTCGTACGAGTATTTGCTCGATTAAAATATGTATCAATGCTTCGTTCGTCTAATCTAATATTTAATGACACTAAAAGTTGATGAACTTCAGACCGATCTAAACATCCCGATTGGTCTCTATCGGCTTGTGAAAATACTTGCCATATCCATTGATTTGTTATTTCGTGATGTGTACGCATATGAGATTGATAACGTCGTATTAGAAATGTTAAACCTTCAATCCATTGCGAACGTATTTCCTCGGTTTCGGCAAGTAGATCAAGCGAATGCCGATTATTGTCATAGAGAATTGAAAAAGCTAAATTTTCTTCATCACGCGTAATTTTTCGTTTATTTAAATATGCTTTCCAAATAGCAGTCGTAAAACCTGCACGCACTTGATCAATATCTTTTATTTTACCTATAAAAAAACATTTCCTCTATTGACAACCGTAAAACATTGATAGTTTATTTTCATACATGCTTCAATTTTAGATTTATTTCGTGATCCTTTATAATGTATGACATCTTCTGAAAGAGCCAGATAATAGATCCTTGAATAGGTATGACCATTGGATTTAAATTTAATAAATGTCACTCGATGCTTAAGTTGATTTGCAATATTTAATCCTTCTATTTCACTTACTTGCAAGTCACTAGTATTTATTAATCTAAATTCGAACACATCTTAAATAGAATTTCTCCGATTCTAAATTAACAGCCAAACCTTTCCCATTGGATTTCATTCATAGTTGTATCGGCGAAAATGGTTTTGATGTAATTTTCGTGGACTTCTTTCTCCTTTTATTTCTTTCACTAAGATAATAAGATTCATCCCGTGTTTTTTATACCGCAAAAAAAAACAGAATACGCAGCAAGGTTAACAAACAACGACAATGATCGAAAGAACGCAAGAAAGAAAAAGACTAACAGATGTATACAGCCTCACTTACGACAAATTTTAAATGATAATAATCTATGAATCATATTTTATGTTTCGCGATGATAACAACCATTCTTCCAATGTTGAATCACACCACCGTTGTCGCCAACAACAGGATCTATTCGAGGTACTTTTACCTATCAATTATGAAAGGTATTTATGCCGGATAGCTTACGCGCACAGATTTATGAAGCGCACTTTTTTCACCTAACAAAAACAAAATTTCCTTCAGCAGGTAATTTCCTTCATTTCTACACCATTTGAAATCATTTACTTGTCAACTACTCTGTCGAGTGTCAGATATTTATTTACTTTTCGAGTCATTCGAGAAACAAAATAGTCATCATTCACAATAGAAGCATATCAAATGACGTTTTGGCTGTACGGCCATTTTTCATCAGACGTCTCGAGTGAAAGATACGAATATTTTCTCTTCAAGACCGTTGAATCTGTTAAAGAACATTGTTTTTTTATGATCTTTATCAAGCTCGAGCCCTGTTTAATGCAGATAATTCTTTTTTCATTATAAGAATACTAACAAGTGTTTGAGGACACAATCTCCTTTAGAAGATTTCATTTCAGTTTCTGTCACTTCTATGGATTAAAGTCATCTGACACATGTTTCTATATGCTTCAGATGTGTTACTTAGAAATTAATAATTTACCTGTTTTATATTCTCTTCAGCTTTGCTTCTTTCTTCAGCATTTTGTCCATAATTCATATCGTAATCTTTCCCGTCTGTATCATAAGCTCCGACAACACTAAACGCATTATCTTGTTCCATATTTTTATGAGCTACACCGGCAGGAATTAATATAACAATCGCCGGTAGTTAATTCAATATCTTTGCGTACTTGCTCATTATAACCACCTAGTCGTATTTGCGCACGGCCACCATAACAGCCAAGTGCCTCATGCGCTGTTGAATGATAATGATGATACGAAAAAATACCATCGTGCCATGATTTACCAAAATGATTTTGCTTAAATAATTGTTCCCATGACGAAGCAGACACTGATTTACCATCAAAAACTTGTCGATAGACTATAACTGGTAGATGATTATTATTAGGAAAAAAGTGTTCATCATCATGAACAAAAAATGTTTCGATTTTAACATCGTTGAAAGCCATTTTTACAGTCGAATAGCAATGAAAATAAACTAAAGGCGATATAATCTGAAGTAACAGTGAGGAAAATGTTCTCATCTCAGAAGAAGAAGAAGAAGAAAAAACAGTAAATAAATTCAAATGATTCTTTGCTTTTATAGATTGATGAAATCTGATAATTCTCGATCAGCGATGATAAAACAAATGAATACTGATGAATTTAAAATCCCTACATTTAGGAAAAAACACAAAAAAAATTTCGACATTTTAACGAATTTCAACACCAAACTGTTGTTTACAATGAGATTCAATATCTTTATGTACCATATTGATCTCCTCTTTTGTTAGTGTTCGATCCATAGAACGATAAATGATACGATAAGTTTGAGAATGCCGTTGTTTCTTTGCACTATAAAATTCATCGATAAGTACAACTTGTTCTATTAAATCGCCACCAATAGCTCGAACTAAATCATGAAAATCCGATGGATCAATAATAGTTTTACCCATCCACATAGATAGATCATTGATACATTGAGGATAGACACTTATGGGTTTATATCGAACCGCGCGTGTTGAATCGTCGAATGCAAATTGTGATAGAAAACCGGAATCATTCGACCAGAATAAACGAATATCGGGAATGCCATACATTATCATAGCAATACGTTCTAAACCAAGGCCAAATGCCCAGCCAATATGATCTTTACTGAGACCACTATTTTCCAATACACTGTGTTCCATAATACCGCAGCCAAGTAATTCATACCATTTGCCATCGATTTCTATTTCATATTCCCATGATGGATGAGTAAAAGGAAATGTCGCATCAACCCATCGTGAATTTAATGTTGCTGCATTTGGAAACAAATTTTTAAATAGATCGGTTATGGTCTTTTTAAGAGATGCTTCAACTAATTTGACGGCTTCTAATGTATGTCCTTCTTGTTTCGTAGCATCACGATGTTCTAGATTAAGTAAAAATAGAAATAATGATATGATCAAAATGGCGTGAAAAAAATTAAAATAGATCTATTATACTATGCGAAAATCTGACTGGAAAGTATGTGATAAGTATTCAAGCGTGGTTAATCATACCATTTACTGGAAAGGTCTAGATAAAATAAGGTCAATCGCTTATTTTGACATTATCACCAGTGATCAATGATAGTTATGTTATTACCCACGAACACTCAAAGCCCATTGAAACGAAATTTATAATCCAACCGAAGTTAACCTATCAATAATTTCCATACTATATCGTATCTTTCGGAATAAAAAAAATCAAGAGCGCTGATACTCTCAGTTTGTGACGTTAATCGAAAATATCAGATAAGACGTGCCACTGAAAAATTCAACAACGAAAAAAAACTATTTTTTTATTCTTCTTACCATTTGACCCAAAAATCTGAAGATAATCTTTATCACCGCGTACATTTCGATTTTCGATAAATAGTTCTTCTTTATTAAACAGTTGTACACCTTCACATTGATGAAAAACAGGATAATGAGTTGGATCAATACTATCACGTCGGTAAACATCGCCAATGCATAAAAATGCATTTAGGCCCGAACGTATCAAATCAACTTGATGAGCCGATGTATGCGCCCGCAAAAGTGTACTTTTATTAATATAATAATTCATTGTTTTTGTTCGACTAACATGATCAGCAGGTATGCATATTGAATCGAAATTTTGTTCTGTTGTTACAATCGGTCGTAGATCGTCAATAATAGAAAATTTTGGAGATAATTTTCTTGGATCATAATATTGATAGAAATGTTGACGTAGACGATTCGTTAGATGATATAATGGATGGTTTTTTTGTTGATGTAAATTCTGACCTATACGTGAAAGAATATGCCCGTTCACATTTGTCCATGAATCGGTAGGATATTTTTTATTTTGAATGATGAGTTCTGACGGATAGATAACGGCTTGCTTTATTGGATCATATTCGATATTAAATGGATCAGGTTTCCTTTGTGTTGTCGTAGCATTTGTACGATACGGATAGCGTATATGTCGAAGAATCGATCGAGTGTAAAAACGCTTTAAAACTATCATCTAGAAAATACAAGGATCGAGAATTGTCTAACATCAGAACAAAAAATGTAACGGTGTGTTTCATAAAAATTGAATCAGATAGATTTTCTATGAATATTTCGTGAAATATTTAGATTCTTTCTTTGATATCGATTGATTTCGATTCTTCTTCGACTGCTTCGTCTTGTTGTACACCGGTAGATTTGTCGGTTTTTTTCGTTGATTTTTCTGCTAGTAATTTTGACGGAGCAAGGAGAATGATGGAACGTACACTCTTGGAATTTGTGTGAACTCTAGGAAATTCTTCGAGATGTGGTTTTAGTCGCGCGAGAAATGCTTTTTGATCCTCAGCACGTGCAGCCTAAAATTATACAAAAAGTTACATACAATGAGTTCTTCTTAGGTATACGTTTATTTTTTGCGAAATATTACAAAGACGAGATTCGTTTTTGTTTTATAAATAAATAGTCGAATAATTTTATTTCTGATTTCGCTTGAATAATAATTTAGCCATCTCCCATACGAGAAACATAGTGGCAATTCAAGTATAAGCAGAGACGCTTCCGAGCTTATAAATTTTCACAAACTTTGTTCGATCGAGAACTGTCTCAAATCGGCAGCTAACGAAATATGTACAAATGCGAGCTCTAATTTACAATATATTTGGTTCAGCAATTCAATATATTTTTCTCGGGACCTTTGACATCATTAAAAATTTTTAAATCCTGAAGAATACACTTCATTTTCATACGCTTGGATTATCGTTCGTTAGCACTACTTAATCGGTATTGACCAAATAGCTGAAATTTGGTTTTAGAAAAGCAAAAATAAAATAATCCTGTCAGTAGAAATATTAATCATGAAGTCGATTCGAACCAATGAATGAAAAAAAAACAAGTTCTTAGTTTCATCCACAAGTAAAACGCTTTTTGCATAATGGTGAAACTTTAATAAAAATACATTTTTATTTTACAAATCACAGCACTTTCCAAAAAGCGTAAGCGGCTTCATTTTAATAGTACCATAATTTAGTCTACTTGCTTTGATTAATATTACTTACTAATTTTTCAGTCTCTTTTTCATCAATAGAATGCCCAAAATCCAATGAAAATCGAATATTACATCCTTTTGCATAAGCAGCTTTTGCACTTGCTAATTTTGTTAATAAATCTTTGTCGGCAATATGTGGTCGAAGTCGTAAAGCGAAATCGGTAATTTTTTCATTTGATAATTCTCGTTTTTTATTTGCACGTGTTTCGTCACGTATGTGTGCTAAATTTTTTCCCGTCATTAATCGAACATCCGGCGGATCGTGTGATTCATCAAAAAGAACGAGTATTAATTCGCGAAATTTAGCCAATTTCTGTGCTTCATTTAATGACATGCGACCCAGCGATTGTTTATTTTCATCATCAAATAAATTCACTTGTAAATGTTGATTACCTGGTGTAACACTAAGGAAAATAAACTAAATATTTTGATTTACTCTTTCATTCATACCCGAGTCGACTCGGTACAAGGATTTTCTTTTTCGAATAATATTGCGATATAAAACGTGTAGAAACAAATAGTTGATTTGTTAGAAATCGTCTTAGCATTCTTATCTTGAAATATACAATAGCAAAACAAAAATTACCAAATGAATTTCATAGCTCATCATCTATTTCGTGTTTAAGATTCATAACAAAAAATAGATACAAGACAAAAAGAAAAGAAAAGAGCACAAAAAATTTTAAAAAAAATTAAATTATCCTTTTAATGTTGATAATAATTGTTGTTTAATTTCTGGTGAACATTGAATTTTTTCATTCCTACAAAAAAATCATAGATTTTTATTAAGATTATTAACTGAAAGAAAATAATCTTACGGAGTATTTTGAAGAAAAATACTTAGAAGATTTTTAGTTGACTTTGGTAAAAATTGATTCACATCGACTATTGTTTTAAATATTCTATCACGTTGAGTTATTTTACGACGTTGACGTCCTGTTTGTTCATCCTAAAAAGCAAAAAGCATGTTCCTATTCTTCAAGAGAGATTCTCTAGAAAATGTAAAGTCGATATTTTCTCTTAATCGAGTGAAATGCATAGTCCATCTGATTTTGAGCTCTTCCGTACAACATAATGGCTGCACGGGTTAACACTTCTCGCCGTGTAGTCAGTATGCTTTCGCATAAATAATCCAAAGCAAGCAGCTCTTAGTTACTTGTGCAAAGTCTGAACACAGCGCCTTATTAATATGCGCCGAAAAAACTGAACTACTTAAACATTATAAAAGACTAACTCTGCCATGATGAATATTTTTGATCCTACAGGAATAGTCAAATCAATATTTGGTGCCTGTATCTCTTCTTACCTTGACAAAGCCTAATACTACGAGTAATCGTTCATTGAAATTGCGTTCACTGTCCTGTGTAAATGTTAATGCTTGTAGAGTATTTGCTAAAAAGCAGAAGTCTTCAATAGTAAATATAATAAAAATGAAATTCTTACAAGCAATTGTTGAGCTGTCCTTTTGTGAAACGGAATCATCACTCCAAATGTCTTCAAGTAATTTTACTGCACGCTCAATAGTTTGTTCATCATTCTGAAGAATAAGATACATCAGTAGTGTCATTCCTTATTTAAATTCAGATGATACAAACTTTCAAATGTTCTTTGATTTTATCGGGATTTGTAAATGTTGTCAATTTATTATTTTTTCCCTATAAAAAGAAAAAGTTCTTTTCATGTAAAATTTAAAAAAAGATTTTGAATAATTACTTGAATAGTTGATCTTAGATCAAAAGTAAACGGTGAACAAACATTGATACTAGCGATCATACTCGAAAGATCTTCGACAGGTGGTGGTTGAGCTAAATTTGTTTTCGTATGACCGAATTGAAGAGAATTCCATGGTGATAGCTGTTGAGTAGCAGTTTTGCCAAAAAAGAAAGAGGGAGACTCAGTGTCTTCTTCTTCTTCTTCATCATCATCTTCATAATCTTCATCATTATCGTCATATTCCTCGTCGTCCTCATCTCCTTCTTCATGTACTCTATCTTCTTCTTCGTCTTCATCACTACCTTCGTCATCACTGTAAAATAAAATACACATTAACAATGAAATACAAAAAAAACACCATATTGCAGGAATAGCGATTCATTGTCGTGCAATCTGGACAAGTCACAGAAGTTTACGCTCTCATGACTAAACATTAATCATTTCTTTATTGTAATTTCCCTAAGCTAGATTTCCCATATCTATTAAATTCTTCTAACTGAAATATCACAAACAACTGCAATGCTGAATCTACTTCTCGCTAATACTAACTTTTATTTAGTTTAATTTTCATTTCCGAGATATTAAAAATTGATTACCTGAATATCATTTGATTAGCGAAACTTTTATTTTCAAGTGCCTGACGAATTTCATCAATACCGTCATTACCAAGACAATTTCCTATAATTTTTTCATTAATAAATCAAAGATTTATTTCAAAAAAAATTAACCATTTAAATCTAACGCTTTTAATGTTGGCATGTTCTTTACAGCATGCGCTATTTCAAGTGCACCTTCCGTATGTATATCATTACATCCAAGATATAATTCCTAAAAAATAACCATAAATTCTCTCATAATACAAACAATCCGTTTAAAATACTTGAAGATTTTTATGTGAAGCAATAGCTCGTGCTACAGCGATAGCACCTTTTGTACGAATAAGTGATGACTCAAGATTCAGAACTTCGAGGTTTGGTAGTTTTTCAATAGCCGATGCTAACTTTGGAGCGGCTAATGTTACTGCATTGTCATTAAGATCAATTAAACGTAAATTCTGGTTGCTGACAAATGCAACCGCTAATGCTTCAATACCCGGTGGTCTTATACCGTTTTGTGGCATGCGAATGACTTCTAATGTGCCAATTGTCTGTGATTACAAAACAAGAAAAAGATATAAATTTCAAACGAGACAAAGCCAAACCCTACTTCAAATGCTTTTGATAATGCTTGTGCACCTTCATTTTCAAGTCGATTTCGACCAGCAACGAATTGTTTTAGAGCAAATTTCCCTTGACTATTTTTGTGACATGTAATTAATGCTTCAGCTAATAACTAAATGAAGATGTCAAAATTAGATTTTTTAAGCAAAGAACAAATTCATTTTTATTCACTTTTCCACCGTCAATACCCATACCACAATTATTAAGTCGAAGTTCTTCAAGTGAAAAACATGCTGATGAACACAGAAATGTTTCGAGACCTTTGACGCCAATGGGACCGAATGCATTATCACTTAAATTAATTTCAACAATATGAGCTCCATTAGTCATAAGACCTTGAGTTAATTTAATCTATGAATAAAAATCATTAGAATTCATTATTATCCAATTCAAAATAGTCGATCTTACTAGCGATTGTGGTACTTCTGTTTTAAGTCGTGTTGTAAATAAATCATTCCAAATTAAACGCTAATATTCAAATAGATATATCAAAAATATATTTGTATATAAACATGGATATTTACTTGAATTTCACTATGTTTTTCTAATGCTATGCCAATAGCTGTTGCGGCTGCTTCATTTATTGTATTCCCCTCAAGACGCAAAGCTATTAATTGATTAAACTGTTCGATATCATCACATAATTCTTTCACTAAATGAAATTTTGATGTCAATTAAATATACGAGATAGAAAAGCAAACGAAAAATAATTACCATCCTCAGCACTATTTCCTTTTAAACCTCGACTAGCCCACGATAATTCATGTTCGGTTGATTGGAGACTTTTCGATAGAGTATCAGCCATAATTAGTTGTGACGAAGGAGAAGAAGAATTGAAATCTGGAAGTAATCAAAAATACTTTCGTATCGAGATGAATTACATTTATTTTATGCAATGCATATAAAACTTCTTTGTTGTTGTCGTTCTGTGGTGATCAGTAAAAGCCAATAAAATTTGCCTACGAATCGATAGAGTTCGCTTTATGATAATATTTTGAAAGTCGCATATATCGAATTTCGTATATCATCGACTTATTATTAACACTCGATGAATTTAAGAACACTTTGATTATTTAAGTAACGATGAAGAATAAGAATCTATATTTATACTTATTGTTTTGTTCATTGTTGAGATTACGAACACTTCCGATACTGATTTTGTACTAGGATTTTGTCCAGAATATGCCTTGCATTCATAACAAAATTTTTGAGTTCTTAGGCAGAAGTCACTTTGAAATAGAACTCTTCTTTTAACACTTAATTTATGGAAAGAATTTGGTCAATATAGTTTATTAAGATTTAAAACCGTGCGTTAACTTTTGACGTAAGATATGAATGCAACTGTGTTTTTCTATTCTAGAATTTTCTTATGAGGCTGTCAAGTTTTTTTTTGTTTGTCTATTTTATTAAAAACACTTTAATACAAGAAAATCGAAAGGGATCAATGTTAATAACACGAAATATATGTTAGGGGAATACAGAAAATGAAGGGGATCGAGTATCTTTAAGGAAAAGTATCCAGCAGAGTCTCTTACATTAAACCATCGTTTTAGATTATAGTAGGCAACTTCACGTAGAAAAATTAGACATTCGTTAATCAATTGTTTATCATTTTTTTTGTCGTCACCCGTTATCTTGTACTGATTTCTTACATTCACTACTGAAAAAATAACTTTTGACAGCAGCCGCTGCTACAGCTACTTTTGCTACACTTGCCCCGATAGCACCAGTCATCGATACACTTTGTAGTCATGAAAAACCAGTTCCGATTCCAAATGTTGCTTGATACCAAGCAGCCCAGGATCCGCCAACAATGCCAGTGGTAGTGAATCCCATCGATGCGAGCAACGCAGGAATACCTACTACACCAACACTCGTTGCCACTGCTGCATATCCGAGAAACGACGTGGATTTTGCTAATATACAACACTGATCTTCGTTGAGACCTAACTTTGAACAAACTTGTTCAAGGAAAGTTGAATCATCTTGTTTATAGTACGAATCTCTTGCTACAATAGAAGGCACTGGCGAGACGAGTAGAAATATGATAGAGAAAAGAGTAATGTGTTTTGTCGGAGAACACATTTTAAGACAAAAATAAAAGCGTTACTACTTGGTGTAGCAGTGACGACAAAATTGTTTTCTATTCTGCTTCTGGTGTAGTTTCACTTTTTTCAAAGTATGCACTCATCTGATATCTCAACTAAGACAGAAACAAAAAGCAAACTAATTAGACAAATTATAGATGGCATATATCAGAGATGGGCATCTCCATGGAAACAAGTCATGTTAGGACACCTAACCTGTTCATGTAATTTTCGAATTATTTTGAATATTACGTGGGCAATCCAGGGGTCCAAAAATGACTTGTTTCCATGGAGATGTCCAATCTCTGGCATATATGAGTGAACTTGAAATCTTCTGAAATTCACAACTATCTACACAACAAATAGGAATCCTTCCAGTTTCTCATATATGTCAAACTTGAAACTTGAATTCAGTTGAAAATTGAAATTTTCAACTTTTAAACCAATAGCATTCTGAATAATCGCGACTCATACATATATCGTTACGAGTTGAAAGTTGAAATTTTCTATTTTCAACTGAATTCAAGTTTCAAGTTTGGCACTACTGCAGTATCTAATGGGCTACCGAATGAATAGGTTGATTATTTTTTGACCATCGTTCTATTTGTTGTGAAAATCCATAAAACTGAAAGAACAGCGCTACATGTATCGCAATGCGGCGTTAAAGACTAAATAGTATTACTGTCGAAATCTTACAAGAAACTCACACTATGCACTAATTAATGTAGAATTTTCTAGGAAAATTAGTTGAGCACAATGGTTTCTCTTTCATAATATTTCCATCGTATTTTCAAAAAGTGTTTTGATGATTTTTGACAACGCATTAGTTTCTTTGTCGACAGAGTATCGGTTGATTGCATGCATAAATCACATATTTTAAATTCATTTTCGTTACAGGGCACTATGGCTCTAAGAAAACGAACCTTTTCTGTATTTTTCTGAATTTGACAAGTGCTAATTTCCAGTTCGACTTGACTTGTGACTGACAAAAAATATAACTATGCCAATTTGAAATCTATCCGACCCTCAAAAGTCGTCTTTCTTTCTCCTGATTAATTCGATTAATCTTTCATTGAGATGCACATACTTTCATGTTTGAATGAATATTATGCGTATTTGATTCAGTTAAAACAACAACAGAAATAATATTTATGTAAAACTCCACTCAAAATGACTTCTTTCTTTTTAGTTTACAAATATAGCTTCTTTATTAAATTAAAAGGCACAAAAATTCTTTTGTATGACGTAGCCATTAATAATTTGTACGTCATTCAAATGAAGCATGTATAATAGACGTTGATGTATTCATCATACATTTGAACCGCTGACAGGCAGCGTGAATAATAGTAAGTGACATGTAGTGTGACAAAATATATAAATCAAAATGGTGAATGCACTGAATCAGGGTAATATATGAATTTTGTAGAAGCATCAGAGAACAATCGTATTGGAAATATATAAAATCAGGATATACATTCAAGTAAATAATATTACAGTTTTAGGGAAAGCAAGTTGTAAACAAACGATGGCGCTATACTACAGTGCTGTTTCAACAAGAGTAAACAGGTTAACTTGAGCACAATGTCAATTCCAGATGTCACTAGAAGTTAAATTCATATTCCTACTTGACCAGAAGAATTCAAGCAATATCATAAATAATCTGTATGAATAATGTATTTCATAAATTTTTGATCTAAATTTTTTTAAATAAGTTCTATATTGGATGCATAAATAAACTTTTAGTTCAACATTGCTTTGAACATGTATTCGTCTTCCATCGTAGGCTATAAAGGAGGGCTCGAGAAAAAATGAGAACGTCATCAAAATGGAGACGGGGTAATAGAGAGAACAAACAGAAAAAAGCAGTCAGTTAGAACTGCAGCGCACAGAAAATCCATAAAAAGGAAACAGCTAACAGTTCAAATATTCGTAATAAAATTTCAAAAACAAGTAAGCATAAGATATTTGTCTGAAATTTTATTTTATCTACTCTTTGTTGAAGTAATTTTTCATGTGTATACACCAAATTAAAAGGGCATTTTTTTGACGTCGTTTTTTTTTGTGTCGTCTATAAGCCAATTGAATCTATTTATGTTCATCTATTTTCAGTAATCGACTATTTTCTATTAAGAACTTCTAATAATAATAGCAGTAAAACATATTTTATTAATCTAATCTGTCGATTGTCTCGAGGAAACGATTGAATTGAATACTATTTCGGGAAAAGATGTTATCATCATATTCGCAAGAGAAAGACGATAAGAAGAGACTAAAAAAAGTCGTTCCTGTGGTCTAGAAAAGATATTTTTCTCAGGTCGTATGTTCTTATTCAAATTTGTGCTTAACTTACAATAGTTCACGCACATTTTCGTTTTGTTTACGCTTGATAAATAGGATACTTTCATGCGATAAAAATGGGTTTGTGTCGATTTCATATTAAGTAAGTAAGAGTCTTCGAATTTTTTATTCGTGAAAATAATATTTCTACTTGGAGAAAGTTTTCTTTGAATGCTCGTATTTTGATTAATTTAGTCGATGAATGTCACTTGAGTTCTCTTTGCTATGTGTAGTTTGATGTATTATTGTGTACAGGTCTCGCAGTTACTAAACGTGAAAAGTTGATATACTTCGTGAAAAATGAGATCTAACATCTGTGATATCAAAGATACAGTTTTCTCATTAAAGATTTTCTCTATGTGAAAAAAACAGCTCTGACAGTACAGGCTTTCGGTAGTTATAAGTTAATGATCTGAACTGTTTACAGAGGATTTGTAAAATAGTTCATTTAGTCTTGATTCAACAGTTGGAAGACATTTCTCGTTCGAGCGAATGGCTAGAAATATATTTTTTCGCCTGGAATCATATTCCGGTGAAGTAGCATTTCTTGTCATTATTCATTCAGAATATTTATCTATGATTAATAAATAATTTCACGCATTAGATTTGCACAAAAGAAAGATATTTAACTTTCTTATCATTTTATTATTTATGACCCATCGTTCTTATTGAATCTAAACGGTTAAAAGAATCACAAAAAAGAATAAACGCGACATTTACTATGATTGAAAAAAGATGTAATAGAAATCAATGAAGCAAAAATTGAATTATGTATGTGAAGTAATCTTTAGCAATAGGTGATTGTATTCAGTATTCTAATTTTTGTTTTCGCCGTGTCTGTATCTGAAGATCAGCACTTGAAATATTCTATTTTAGATAATAAAAACAAGTCGGTACTTGAAAAAAGAAAAAAAAAATTCAAAATGGTATATGATGTGGACAAAATAAAGGCGTCTGGCACGGCCATGCCATATTTACCAGCACCATTAGATGTGCCGACTGCCATTGTCAATAAACCATCACCGACAACAACCGAAAAGAAATCCTTTATGAGCAACGAACAAGAAGAGGAAGACTTTATTAAAAATAATTATGTAGCACGAACATTATTGAACGAACCTGAATTACCACCTATGACATGGTCGAATTGGTATACACAAATTAATTGGCCTCAAGCAACATTACTATGTCTTGAGCCGTTAGTTGCTTTATATGGTCTTTTTACTACATCGTTTATGTGGCAAACTATTGTTTTTACTATTATATGGTATTTTTTAACTGGTTTTGGTATTACGGCTGGTTATCATCGTTTATTTGCTCATCGATCTTATGAAGCTCGATTACCACTACGATACTTTCTACTTATTCTAGGTGCAGGTTCAGTTCAAGGTTCGGCTCAATGGTGGTCACGTGGTCATCGTGCCCATCATCGTTATACCGATACAGATCTCGATCCATATAGTGCACATAAAGGAATGTTTTATTCACATATTGGTTGGTTATTATTTAAACCGCGTCGAAAGCCTGGTGTAGCTGATATCAGTGATCTTACGAATGATAAAAGTGTTCAATGGCAACATCGTAATTATCTTAGTTTAGCTTTTTTTCTGTCATTTGTTTTTCCAACATTGGTTTGTGGACTTGGCTGGGGTGATTATCGTGGTGGTTATTTTTTTGCCGGTGTTCTTCGTCTTGTCTTCGTTCATCATTCAACATTTTGTGTTAATTCATTGGCACATTATTTAGGTGATGCACCGTTCGATGATAGACGTACACCACGTGACCATTTTGTTACTGCACTTGTTACACTTGGCGAAGGTTATCATAATTTTCATCATGAATTTCCATCGGATTATCGAAATGCACTTAAATGGTTTCAATATGATCCAACAAAATGTTTAATAGCATTTTTTAAACTAATTCGACTTGCACATAATCTTAAAGAATTTCCTCAAAATGAAATCAAAAAAGGTCGCTATTCAATGGCACGCAAAGCATTGGATAAATTTGGAGGAACTATTACTTGGCCAAAAACTAATGCTGAATTACCGATTATTTCATTTGAAGAGTATCAAAGATTATCGAAACAAGAAGATGGTCGTGTACTTGTCTTAATTGCTGGCTTTATTCATGATGTTAGCAATTTTATTGATTCACATCCAGGTGGTCGAGCTTTGATTAAAAGTCATGTTGGCAAGGATGCAACCGTCGCTTTTTATGGTGGTATACATGATCATAATACTGCAGCACATAATATGCTTGCTATGATGCGAGTTGCTGCATGCAAATATGGTGGTGAAGTCGAACATATTAAAAAACGATTGGGACACGTCCAAACGCCAACTCCGATTTTTGCTTAGCATTTTGATTTTTCCTGTTAAGTCAAAACGAGTTTTAAATTCTATGATAGAGATCTTGATTAAAGAAATAAAAAAGCATAACTATGAAATTATTCTATTGAAAATAAATGTTTATTATAGATTTAAAAAATGTTTAACAAATTAGAAGTTTAAAATCGTAAACGAATGACGCTATCATTAAGACCAATATTTTGGTCTTTTTCAATATCAAGAAGAATGAACAAAGTTGAATAGGTTGTATCGTCGTTATTAGCTCGAAGGAAAAGAAATCAAACAGACTGATGAGATTACTGGAAAAGTCGAAAGGAAAAATATTCATTGTTGTCGACTAGTGTTTGTACTCATCGATTGTACTTGTCTATTAATGATTTACTCAAAGTGATTTCAAAGCTGATGATCTTACGATCTGAATTGAGTGTTTTATCGCTCGTAGTCGGGTTGCATAGTCAAGCTGCTATCGTGCATCTTAGAAAAATGTTTTTAAAATTGATTGGTTTGAAGTATTCTCTAGAGATTTCTAATCAACGTTGCAGCGAGGGTTTCGAGTTCTTGAATAGTAGATAACGTCTGGTTAACTATAAACTTTAAAAGAATTCTTCTTTTGTTAAATTTGATCATGATATAAAAAACCTCGTATGAAAGAAATTCATTTGCATTTAATTGGATATGAACTTAGATGTCAGATATCTTCATTGGACATTCCCCCGGAAAAAGTACACGGTTCAGTATTGATGAATTTATATTTTTGTGAAACACGATCTGAAAGGAGTATTGAAGTATATAGGGTAGAAATTTGGACCCCCCCCCCAAAGACCGTTACAGAGAAATTAATTAATTTCGCTGTAACGGTCTGTGATGGCTTCTGAATTCTTTGTAACGGTCTGTGATAATTTCTGAATTCTCTGTAACGGTCTGTGGTGGTTTCTAGAGACTTCATACATCATAATACAGACTGTAACAGAGAAGTTCCACAGACCATCAGCGACCGTGATAGTAGAATTCCAGAAAAGAAGTTTCATCATGTTTCACATTTTAATCCCACAGGGATTGCCCTAACAGCTTTTATATGTTAGAAACACTTGTCTGCTGCCCGTTACCAGTTTGCATCATTTTAATTGTTGCACAAAAATAAGCCATTCGATCATCAGGCAAGAAAGTATGAGAATGCTAAACAGCAAAGTATACAAGACACATTTGAGGAAATTTTAGATGAGAGCGTGGATGTGACTGGAAATAAGATCCACCAACACTATTTAAGATCATGCTCACTAAGATAATGGATTTACATACAAATAATTACTTTCTTTTTATTAGAATTAAGAGCTTCAGTAATTAAATATTATTTACCGATTCAATTAATAAATTTTCAATCAACAATGGTCGATAGAGTTATTCTTGATTGTATGTACATATATTTCAAAATGTCAAGAGGATATGCCATGTGCAATAATATTTAGTGCTGTTACTTGAACGTCACAAAATATTCTTAGTATAACACTTCGGTTAAAAATGCTTTTTTTAAAATCAAATCAAACAAATCCAATGTGTACAACTAATTTAGATTTAAATAATTCGGTATATTTGTAATGATTAGTAATTAGGCTATTGAAAATATTGTTGTTCGTTCAATGACAATTATTTTAATTGCTCGTATTTATCGTTGTTCCATTGAAGATCAAGCACTTTTATCCCTTTCAGTGCCATCCTAATTATAAATATAAATTTGTTTGAAAGAAAACTTAATAGGAATAGATTAATTTTATTCAGATTCAATAATGAATCAAACATTAAGCATGATCTTGGAGAATTTAACATACTATTATTAGGGAATTGATATGGCGATCGATGCAACACAATCATCATCAAATTCATTTAATCTATCGAATATTCATTTATTATTAGTGGTTTTTCTTATTTCTGTTTTGTCAGATTTTCATTGAAATTGGCGAATAATATTTGAATTACTGAAAAGAAAGAAAATATTTCACTTTTTTTTTAATCGATCTAATAGGAATTCAATCCTTCTCGATTTTTTTCTCGATAATTCTCTACAATGTCAAAGCACCTATAGCGCTAATAAACACTTATTTATCAGATATCAAATGATAGTTACAAGAAAATGTCTGAATTTATTTTATTGTTTTGATAAATTTAAATGCAAGGATATTTGCCCAAGGGGGAAACAACAGAATCCAGTCCCTTGGATTCAGGTGGATTGAGGATGTGGGTGCCCTAAAAATTTTAACAAATATGCACAAAAACAATTACTAAACGGCAACACATCCTTGATAATATCACAGTTAGATTGGATTCTGTTGAATCACAGACATATTCGCTAGTTGATGATTCTTCTACAGGAGAAAGAAAAAGAATTAGTCAACTGATAAGGGTTTTTCATATTTTGGAAAAAACTACCTTCAGATTCAGAGAGTGACGAAGACGCAGTAGTGACGCTCGTGTTTAAAAATGTGGCTGCCGAGATTGTCGCTATAGAACATCATTTTCATCCGACGCATTGTTACAAATCTGTATCAGTATTGATATCTGCTTTTTTCTTTTTACCCAGTTATATAAAAAATATTACTTGGATAGTTTCTTTTCTCACCTTTGTAAGACTTTTGAATCTGATATATGATTTAATTATAAAGGGACTGTCACACTGAATTTCGACCAGTGAACAGAATAAGATTGAAAGTGAGAGATAAGCGTGCATATTTCACTTTAAACATTGATCAAATACTCTTTTGCTTTCAATTAAATTAATGAAAGACTACTATCACTTTTTGTCTCAATTGAGTTCCTAGGAAATCGCTATCAGTGTAAAGGTGAAACCAAACAACATATGTAATATATTTATCGGTCTTTTTCCTTTTATTTTATTTTATTTGACTATTAGACAATAAAATAAACAAATACGATCGTCTATTTTTCATCGATAAAAAGTCCAAAATTTTCTTTTATATGGGGGGAGCGGGGTTACATACCCCCGCTTCCGTGACCCTGATTGTACAATGAATCGGTCGATTACGACTAGCGTTAGATCTCTAGTAGTGGTGTATTACAGGACAGCGAGATCGTTTAAAAATCTTACAGTACAATTCGATGTGAAATTTCGGAGTCCGAAAGTTTTAGGATTTTCTTCTGATTGTTTAACCCTTACCAGTATAAGGTGAAAGAAAACCGAAGATATGTCTTCTTAATGATTGGATAATATCTGACGAAGACAAACAATATCTAATGATTAAATACCATTTCAGACTGAAAGAAGAAGAAAACTACCTGTTTCTTCGTTCACACACGGTTTTCCCTTTTATTGCCGTATATAAAGTTTGCTCTTTGCATTAAAATGAAATCTGATAATAACCAAGCTACGAGAGATAAATATGTTGTTCTCTTAACTGTCCACAAACAATCAAAAAATGAGAGAAGAAAATCATTGGAAAATTATATAAGAAGGCAACAGTGGTTCATCCATTCATCGCATCCTTGTACGAGGCAGTAATTTTCACATTTTCTAGTAGCTTGTGCGACACAGGAATTTACGATGTTCAGAAGGTCATAAAAGTACATTCAATAACAACTGTAGTAGATAGGGATGTAGTGTAAGTTAGTTGGCTGTTTATTGTCCTTATTTAATATGAAATAATGTTTAAGCTTAATAGATTTTTAGCACAGCTAGGAAAACAAGAATTAATCCTGCAAGGTGTCTATGTGTTGAATTGATGGCAGCATGATTACAGAGATCTTCATTACAGCAACAGTGCCAATCGACATCATGTGGAGGATCTGCACGTTTATATGTTGGTATTTCAGACGATACAATTGGAAATGCACCAGATTGTTGATGAGCTGCAGATGCAACTAATTCTTGTTCACGAAGCGGCCTTGATTCAGTATTTACAAGACGCGTAGTTCTGTAGCAGCCGGAGCTAGTACATTCATTACCTGAAGCTGGTCCACGTGCTACTAGGTTTGCATAATTCTTGTCGTGAACTACTTTCTTTGTAGGAATAAGAATAAATCATACAGTAATGATGTTACATAAAAACTTCTTACCAAACACCATCCATCCTCCGTAGTTGCTTTCTTGGATATTCCTGGATTATCCATCTTAAACGGATCTCCGCAACCAGTTTTATCGGAAAACGAGCAGGTCCAACATTCCTTGGCACCACTAGCACGTCCAACTACATCTAGAATAATTTGCGACTTCAACATGTTTTTCGGGTTTTCAGGAGACTTACGTAGCAAAAAAAAAATTGCTAGAACAGGAAGCAATTCCATTGACGTTTATCTTGTATACTCTTAAAAAAACGAATTTATTACAGAATATGTATCAATGGAAAGAACCTTTGGGGTTTCATACTGATCTGCTGAATCTAAAATAATTTAGCAGACAGTGGCCTAATCTGTTTTTAGACTCCGTAAACAAGTACGGAACCCAAAAGGTTCTATCCTTCGATACAGGTTTGGTAAAAAAAACTTCCTTTTAGAGTGTACTTAAGTAGCTGAATTATGGCGACTACTTCCTTCCTTATCATTTAAAGATAATAAAAATTTTATTGAATGTACATGATTGTGTCATGTTACTCATGTATTATCTATGAATTTGTTGGTAAAAATAAATAATGCGATGTTAAATGATAAACAATACATGACGATGAGACACTTTTTTAACCCACTCACGCTTCTGTTGTGCTATATAGATGAGTGAAGATTGCATTCCGCTAAAGTAAAAATTGCGCTGAGTTTCATACGCAGTCAAGACACAAACTTTCTTTCCCGTATTTGCGTATCAAGTTCAAACTATTTAAGCCGAGAACCCATTTACGTCATTTACCATACAAAGTTTCTGCTATCTTTATAACAAGACTAGTACATCTGTTATCAGTTTTCTTCACTTTGGTTCCTATACGAACGACTCAATGAATTTGGTCTTTGCTGTTTTATTTCTTGCTTTGTCTGGTAAGTTTTGGTTCGAGAATAACGTTTATTTTAACAGAAAATGTTGACAGGCGTTATTCCATACTACTACTGTGCTGAGGAATGCTGGAGCTGTTCCTACACAAGTAACTGTAACGATCCATTTCAAGAAACCGGTGAATATGTGCCTATGATACCGGCGTTATCCAATGGCTGGTGCTTGGTGAGTAATGGCTTTTTGTAATTCATCTCGGTCAGCTTTTTCTTTATTTATCAGAAAAGGGTGTATGATGTATCCAATAAGCAGAAACAAGTAATACGAGGAGTGGCTACAGATTTTGATTGCAGTAAATCAGGCTGCAAGACGATAATGGCAGTCGATCACAATCCGGCTCACACGAAGTGTTGTTGCAATGGGAACCTGTGTAATCACGCTCCTACTCAATCCAAAAGCAGACTTCTACAATATTTTGTTGTTTTATTTTTTTTCATGGTGCCGAATTGCTAGGATGCCGTTGTATTCCGAGTAATCAGTGAAGAAATCACAAATTTCGACCGTCTCTGGCAAAAAAAGATGAACGAGCGTAAAATAAGACAAATTTCAGAGAAATTTATCAAATGACTTGAAAATTCTTATTAATTTGAGCAGTTTTCGCTGTTGACTATCGTATGGGTCAAAGTTGTTTTATCCTATTTAAAGCTTCAAGCGTTTTACGAGGACATATTGCTTGCTCGCCCGCCTTTGGAAAAGCTATTTGACGCTACATCAATGTGATGAAGTTATCCACTATCAGGATTTCATCCCACCCATTTCAGGCTTTAGACGAAGCAAAGACATACTCTCACTCGGTGATATATGTAAACTCTAAAAAAAAAGGGGTTATTACCGACTTTAGTGATTCTGTATGCTTTAGGTGAATGATTTTAGGTTCGGTGAAGTGAAAATTTTTTCTTAACGTATCGACCTAGTGACTGATGGTTTCTTATTTTTTATACTTATCATCCAGGGGTTTCTTGCAAGATTCGACGTTTTAGAATTATTTTTACTGAGCTGTTTGCCCTCTTACTATTAATCCTATGGTTTCGTATATTTTCCACAAAAACTTCAATTTCTTACGGGTGATTGATGGTTTCGCACGTATTATGCGAAGCTATTTATAGTCCTGTACACTTTCTGTTTCTGGTGGTTTCACAATTTTCTTGAAAATCTACATCTTTTCTTAAAGCCCTTGTAGGTTTCATACATTTCGCACAAAACCATATACAGTTAATATATTTTATGCTTTTTCGTCAGTGCCAAATGATTCAATAAAGAATATTCACTTTTACAGCAGATTGAAAAACCGACATCAATACTTATAATGATGGGTAAAGAATCCTTCATAAATGGATGCACATTTGTTTCAAGAAAAAAGTCACAATTGAAAAACCAACCCACAACAGAATAAGGATAGAGATACAACAAACTTATTAATAGTTGTTCTTGGTATTGTTTTACTAAGTTTATATTTCAAAATCCATAACTAATAAACTGTAGATATAATTGAAGTTAAATTATACTTGATGTAAAAGATTATTTTTTATTTGGAAGATTTCAGTCGATTATAATGATGATTGTGTTGTACCAAAATCCGGTACCATCCGATATTTGTCACTGGATCGTTATTGTAATTAATTGTGCCATATGCCTTTATATAAGAACTTGATGTTGGAAATATCTCGCTTTGTCAGATAAAAAAGGCATCGACATGAAAATTTAAATCGGCTAACCCCGATAGATTGAATATCGGCTTAAAGCTTTATTAGCTTTGATATATATATATTCAAGCTGTCACACCAACGTATATCTTGCAGTCAGAAAAATAGACAGAGAATATTTTAAAGAAAAAATCAGATTCACTCTGATATTTCTCTTCTGGATCGACTCTATATAAAACTGGATGAAACGATTATAGTTAGTTCACATTGACGGGTGTGATGCTTCTATATATGCGAAACTTGGTTAAGAGAATCAAATGTACAACGAGGTCATTGTTCCTCCAGGCACACAGCTTTATTCCTGCTTATCATTTCTCGCTTTTCCTTTTCTTATTATTTATTTGGAACATTATATTTGATCAGTAAAACATAGAAATTTGGGTGTGGGCGTGATTCTTCTGCTCATCTACACTACCGCCACACCGTTTTTTTGGAATTCTTTGATTTTCATTTATTCCATTATTTCCTTCCAGAGCCTCTTTGTCTGATATATCACTTTCATATTGAACAACTTGTACGACTTCCATCTTTTTTTACTCGTTGGTACTAAGTCGAATGTGGAAGAAAGGAGCTAAGAGTACATTTATATATGTTGTACTTGTTAGCTGTACGATATATAGAGACCAAAAGAGCAAACATGAAAAAAAAGTATATCCCCTTATAACACATTTCAATTTTTATACTGATCCTCTAATCTATTTTACTGATTTTTAAATATATCAATAAATCGAAGTATATCAATAGCTGACCACACAAATAATGTATTGATCATTCATTTATTCTACTGATCGCTTCAATGATAGTCTTATTTATTCTCCTTTGCATTCTAACTCCATGCATGTAACTATCATGTTAAGAGACATTTATTGTGAAAAAGTGTGCTCTTCCAGTTAGACATTTTACAGTGAAGGATCAGCAGTTCTCTTTCAAAAGAGGAGCATGATAAATTCTAGTTTCTAAGTAATTAAAATTTTCACATATCGCTATTACAGATGATAGATGGTGTAAACTTAATAAAACATGCTGCTGCACGAATGAAGGAAAACGCTCGCTACAACTATGTACACTTCGAAATTCGATGATTCTTTTTTTTTCATATAAATTTTGAAAGTAAAACTAATTATGGTAAAATAGTGAGCCATTGCCGTTTAGATATAATCCTACAGATATGAACTATGAAGTAAAAGGGGAAAATCCGAAATTTCAGTTAACGACACGAAAACTGTGACATTTCAAAATAACAACCAGGATATTAATATCGTTGCATGACAAGCATAGTGCGCTTTTTTACGATGCCAAGCGTTTGGTTAGAATATGTGACTTACTTAATAGGAGCGCAATGAATCAAATATGAAAAAACAACGCCCTTAATTAAAATTAAGATAAAAATAAATACGAAAAAATAGTTGATTTTCTCTTCTATGGGCGTGGGTTTTCTATTTCATACATCCACACTCACACCGTTTAGTGTTTTGGTTTTTCTTGTTAAGTCATGAGGCGTTTTAAATTCTATGATAGAAATCTTGATCAAAGAAATTAAAAAAAACATATCTATGAATTTATTCTATTGAACATATGTTTATTGTAGATTAAAAAATAATTATAAGTTTAAAATCGTAAACGAATGACACTATCATCAAGACCAATATTTTGATATTTTTCAACATCAATATGAACAAATAGAGTTGAATAGGTTGCATCGTTGTTATTCGCTCTCAAATGAATATGACGATAGCCTAGAAGAAAAAGAAAAGAAAAATATTATCGACCTATTAGTGATTTACTCAAAGTGATTTTTAAGCGCTAATAATCTTAAGATCTAAACATAGTGCTGTATCGTTAGTAGTCGGATTAAACATCCATGTAGCTATCGCGCTTCTTAAAGAAAAGTTTTTTCTTTTAAAGTTGATTGGTTGGCAGAATTCTGAAGAAATTTTCATTTGGGATTCCTCCGAAAAAGTACAGTTTAATATCGATTATGAATTTATTATCTTTTTTAATTAGAAAAGCTTCTCTGCTATCCGTTACCGGTTTGTATCATTTTAATTGGCGCACAAAAATAAGCTATTCTATCATCAGACAGGACAGTATCATAATCCCAAACAGCAAAGTATATAAGGCACATTTGAGGAAATTTTATATGAAATTGAAATTTTTCATTCCAAATTGGATCAAATCCATTATTATCGATAACTTTTGTTTGATGTGTTTGTTCGTCGCAAGACAGACCATGCGTTGATATTTTTACATAGACATCAGGTATATCTTTTGTTTTTGAATCTGATCGAGGTAAAAATTGTCCACTTATAATTGTTATTGTTAAAATTTGAGGATCATCAAAATTCATTTCACGATTCCACGGGTTAAATTCTGTGTCTTCGGCATCAATTAAATAATCTGGCTTAAGTATATAACCACAGGAGCCATTATCAAGAAATTTTCCATGATTTAATGGCATTATATCGTCTACAGTTTGATGGTTTAAAGCGGCCATTTGTACACCGAAATTCCAAGCATATACAGGATATGGATTACTCGAGTCTTGCCTTAAACCATCAGGATATGTGCGAAGAATGCGCCATGTTGTCTGTTGAAGGAAACCAATTGGATCTTTTTGCGTAGCTTTTAACAAAGCACTTTCATTTATTGAAGATGAATTTAATGCTGTATCTTTTTTAAGAGAAAAAAGTCTCGACTTCCACAAAGAGAAGAGTGAAAATTGCGGTTACTTACAATTTTTTCGAGCATAATCATATTCACGAAAAGGAACATTTAATAAATAGACGAACAATTCATCTGATTCCGATTCAGTATCCTATAATATTAGAGAATATATTACTTTTTCGAGATTTTATTTATCAGTGTACAGTTCTCAATGTATCTGCTGACGAGAAATTATAGAGATCAGAATGCAAAACAAGTTTGTTGTAATTCGAAATTTCTTTCTCTGTTTATGACGAAATATTAAATTAAATTCTTCAACAAAAGCGAACGGTTTCGGTAGAAATTCATGATAACACATTTACAGTTCACTTTTTTCATATATATACAGTGCTACGAGTCAAAATGACATTAAAATACTTTTAACTCTGAAGTGAATACCGAAAGACAATCGTTCTCCTGAGATTGTTCGTAGCTCACTGAACTCTACATCATTCATAAAGTCCGAACCCAAACGTTTTTTGGACAGTTGAAAACTTTCTCTCGTAAGGCAATAACCAGTGCTATTACGTTTACCGAAATTTCTAGATTCAATAAAATGCTCTAGGAGAAATGCTAAATCTCTTAGGAGATCTTAGAAGAAGAAAAACTTCTGAAAGTATAAGTTTCAAACGAATACGTAAATGATGACACATAACTTTCGTGATTGATTCCACGAGTAATCTTCTTCGCTCTCGTCTTCCACGTTTGATTTTGTTGTTTCCGAGGGTTTCTTACTCTAACAGAAATTACAAATAGAAATTCATCTGATTTTACTTTAAATAATAATATATTTACACGAATGAGAACTTTATATTTTAAATCTTCTGGTGATGGTAAAATTGATGAATCTTTTTTCGAGAGTCGTTTCGTAATCAATTTATCTATATAATGAAAATCAAATTACATGTATTACAATCATTGTCTTACCGCCGAGAATAGTTTTCAATATTAGAGCCATTTCCTTTTGTTGTTCAGATGAACAATGATTTTCGATATTAAAAATAACTGGATAACTAATAAATAAATCATAAAAAAAAAGTATAAGCCTTCTATTAGACACTCACGGTGACACTTTAAACAGATTTGGTTCTATAAAACGAATGATTGATTCAAACGAACATGGTTTTACAAGTGTAAAACCATGTTTGACAATTGGTTTTCCATCATCACCATCATAGCAATCAAATTCAACAGCTCTGCAGCCCATTAATAATACATGGTTATAAGCTTCGGGATCACTGTTACCAGATACCTGACTGTAGAATAAATAACTATAATAAAAAACAATTCTATTTAGAATCAAAAAAAAACGCTGATCTCTTCGGATTTATATACGTATTATGCGATGTGTTAATATAATAGTCGCATAATGGCCTACGAATATCAAACGGAATATATATATATATATATTAGAATATAGTTCAATTTTGCTTTTTCATAAATCGATACCTCGTCATATCTTGATATACTTCACGAGAATATGCGGATTCAATAATATCAAAACTTCTTGATAATAGCATGTTTCGAAAACCTTGACAGAAATGTTTTTTTTTATTAATCATAAAAAAATCGAACCCTACCATCAAGACTTAGAAGGCATTTGCCTCGAAATTCATTATTTAATTCATATGTATCAATTAGTCTCTGTAATTCTGTTGGATTATCGATATTTTTTATCTATTAAACAGCTAAAATTATAATTCTCAAAAACGAAAACCCATTAAACTCACATTTTCATTTTCGGCTTGTTCAAGAAAAGAATGTAATTCATTTCTGTTCATAGAAATATTTTCCATGGTTCTTCCCGAGCCATTTTTTATAAATCTATCAACAAAAAATCGCAAACTAAATAATTTGTGTAGCATCAGCGAAACCATTACGTTTTCATTATTTCAAAAAGATCTTTACGGCGTGTTAATAAATTAAAAAAGTTCACAAAATCAACTGAATTTAAAGCACCTCGCCGACTTGTATCGACTTGCTAAAAGTTAAAATAATACAAATTAAAACGAAATTCAATAGAAATCTTACATTAAACATTCGTTCAAATATAGTATCATGCATTTTAACATTAAGCGAATCCGCAAGTAACGAACGACATTCATCTTTTGTTAATTTATTTGATTTATCTTTATCGGCCGACTGAAAAAAATCCAAAATCCAACTACAAGAAAACAAAAGATAAGGGTAACAATGTTATAAATATTCTCTCGTTGTTACTTTTTCTCTCGAATAAAATCATATTGGCTTTTTTGTGTATGCCGATTCTTTACATATTCTAAACCTGTTACCCATAAGTCTCGTGTAGTAATGTCCGACGCCATTAAATGTTCTCCTTTTCGATGATCATCATAAATAATCGAAAACGCACGATTTTGCTAAAATGAAGTAAACAAATTCAAGGAATTTAGTTAAATTTAGAATTTTAAATACATCAACAGATTTAACAATGCCATGTTTCATAAGTTGATCAAATGTTTCGGCTGCAAAGCCAATTCTAATCTCATCAATATCTTTTATATTATCTAAATACATTATAAAATGTAGCTTTACATCCTAATATCCAATAATATTAACCTTACATATTTGTGGTTTACCGAAAACTTTACGCGATCCGTGATACGATATGAAACTTTCGTGCTCGTGCAGAAAAAATCGACGTAAATAGCTTTTCCCATTCAGCTTATACTTTGTTAAAACCGAACCAGATTTAAGGAGCTGTAAAACTTCAGTAAAATCATTGTCGTTGTGGCTTGCCATAAATCCAGTCCAATGCGCTATTCATCGGGAATAAAACATTATAAAATGAAAGTGAAAAAGCAATATTAAACGCGAATTACAATCATTTTAACACTTCTATCCGACTCGATGTTGCCTTTTCGTATTTATACGATTGTCGGAGACGAATATGTAACACATATTTATTCTTCTAGAGGAACAGATGTTTTTTTTTATTGTTTTTGCCTATTCAAGGATACCCGTATAATAATATTATAATGCACATTTATATTTAATTGTGAGGACGAAAAGAAACAAGAATCGTATTTTATTTCTGTTTTTTTAAGTAACTACACAGCATCTAAAGTAATGTTAGTTTTTCAAATCGATAATATTATCAGATCCTTGATTCAATCGAAATTATCTTTAGGGAATTTAAACATTAACCCTTGCGGTAATTAGTACAATCATCGCTAATAATATGTTTTTGTAGTTATTTTGTATATAAACTCTTTTCCTGTTATTCGTGCTTTGCATGTAAATACACATAATTATTTGTGTATTCGCTTTTAATTACGTACTTTACTTCTATGCCTACGTTTGCTATTTTTTGGTCACTCCGCATTACGTCAGAACAATATTTTCGTGTATCAAATTTATCATTATATCTTCACGCGCACTCAATTCTTCTTGTCATCTGTCCTACTTCTTGTTGTGACATCAAAAAAAGTCACCATTTGTAAAACTACTGAATTCTTATTAAAGAAACGAATTTTGAGAGACTTAGAGTGAATAGTCGATCTTTAAAATTAAAACACTTTGTTGAAATCAAGAATGTTTTCGTATGAAATTACAATGCAAACAAATAATAACGTACACTGTATTTATTTTGAAATTAAAAGGTCAAGTCACGACAATAGGAGTCAATATTTTAAATTTGTTACTTTAGCGATGAGGATTTTAATTTGATGCTCGCATGTCTAGACACCTTCACTGTGAATTCTGGGAATCTATTGTCTTATGACAGATAAAACATTTTTAAAGACGAAAATCAATAGTTTTTAAATAAACTTACTATTTCTTATTTAACTCCAATGCGTGCTTTAAAAGAAGGCTTTGTAGAAATGAATGACAGAAAAAGAAAGTTACTCCACATGGATGTAGGTGTCAAAAAACAGAACGATCTATTATTTACACAGGGTATGATGACTAACGATTAATATTTACCTTTTAAAAATACCATTAACTCACTCACAAGATGTTTCATATGTTTTTTGATGCAACCATAAAGAAAAGAAATCAAAACTTTCTATATTGATGACTAATACTTATATGTATTCCTTGAAAAGAACGTCAACATAATAGTAAATACGAGTTTTTTTGATAAGTGGAGTTCTTCGTATTTGACAAGGAGAGCTATGGAAAAAGTTTAATCGTACATTTTTACTCGATTAATACTCTGAAGACGCTGGCATATCATAATTCAACGCATGGTAAATATTTCGTACGTTCTAAATGGCATGTTCGCGTTGGATTCAAGTGGCCGTCACTAGTTTTATTTTACTTTCAACTTGAATGCATCCTTTTTTTTCTACCGACACCGAGAATAAGAATGCAACATAATGTATCAACGATTTCTCGCTCACAACAATCATGATAGACCACTTATTCAAGGATGTTTAAACTTAAAAACTATCTATTAATCACTTGTTAAATGTACAAATACGAAGAAATCGCAATCTTACACATGTCGTATATATGTTACAGTTGACATGAGAATTCAGTTGAGATTGGAATAATAGATTTAATTAAAGATAGAGAAAATAGACACAAAAGAGAGCGAAGAAAAGAAAAGAAAAACAAATTTCGAAAATCAAAGTGCAAATAAAATTATATGAACGATATGGAAATTTTTTTCTGAGTTAGATTTAGCAAACTATTTTCTAATCGATCATAAATAAGATTTCTTTTTTAAA